TTGTCCTGTCCTCTGGGAATCCAGCAGGCAAAGGGCTCTGTGATGGTCCAAACCCCAATTTATATCCCTGTGGGAATGTTTAGCCCCTTGGGGTGAAGCATCTCACAATTCAATGATGTAATTCTATGGGTCATGCCTGGGTCCCTGACAGCCCATTAAACAGAGACAGCCCCTGAGGGAGCCTCAGGGACTAGGAGATAACGATCACTGCCCCCACCTGCTTTAACAGCTTGTGGAGATAATAATAGGATACACACTATGGGTTACACCTAACATTGTAACCTAGGACACACTAATTGTATTTGACCTTGATTGTGTCTTCATTAAGACTGGAGGAATCAATCGAACTCTCCCTGTCTTATCAGACTGTTACTGGACAGTCACAAGATGTGACTGCAGTCAGAGCCAGTCTCTGATGTTGGGTGGCTTGTCCTATGCTCTCCCTGGTATTTGGGGCACCCATGGTCCCCAGGCTGGCTGGGGGGTGGCTGAGGGAGAGGCAGCTGACCCATGCAGCATTGGAACTAATTTGGGGCTGGTACTCTCCCTGCTCTCCTCTCATGTGCTGCTAAAAATGATGGGGAAAAAATCAGGAGCAGGCAAAGTTTTTGTAAGCTGGGTGGAGGCTGACTGCCACCCCCAGCCTGGCACCAGGTGAGATAGATTTTTGTATTCTCTCTATATGTCAGGTTTCCTTGTGGTGGGTGGGAATCACAGGGAGACACTGAGGGCACTGAGATCCTCCTTGTGGGAGAGTGATCAGTGCTTGGTGGTAGCACAGCCCGGAGGTGCTGCTGCAGGGCTGCTGGACGAGGCACTGCAGCTGTGGCACTTGGGGATGAGCTGGTGTTGGGGTGAAACACTGCAGCTCTTCATTGCTGCAGGGAAGTGCAGGCAGGTGGAGTCAGGAGAGGCAGGAGTTGTGCTCTGAGGTGGTGGGGCAGAGCAGGGCAGCAGCACCCACTCCTCACATACCTCCAGCTCCCCGTCCTGCAGCCCCAGACTCCTGCCTTGCTCACAGCACAGGGAGGAAATGGCTCAGGCAGTGGTTGCCTCCATCTGCAGCAGCTACTGTGAGCAGGCACTGCTTCCCTAGGGTGCCCTACCTGGCATGGCTTAGCACCACAGCCCCAGACCGGGTGTCTGAGGAAAGCAGCTGGCCGTGGCCTAAAGTGTCCTGCTCCAGCTGGCCCTGCTCCCAGCAGGGCTTGCACTGGGCAAGCTCAGAGATCCCTGCCAGCTTCAGCTGGTCTGGGGGTTCTCCAAAAATTCATCTGTTTGCAGGGAGTGCAGTTTCTCTGAGGAACAAATCTTACAGACATCCTGTTATCCAAGATTGATTCCAGCCCACGAAACAAAGTAAATCTTCTGCAATATGATGTATTGGTTTGTCCTATGATCAGCCATAGCTCTGGGTCCTTGGGCCAAGCCAGCAGCCATGACACAGTGGCAGTGAATCACAGCTCTCCTCCAAATCCTGCACAAATGGCTGATTTGGACATGTTTTCTCTCAGTGCTGTAAGTAATACAACTGGCCTCTTTCAGCCTACTGTCATATCTTCACTCACTCTCCACCCCTCTGTCTTTTGGCCCAGGATTCCCCATCACCTCACACAGAGATGGTGGATCAGCATCCTCTGCAGCTGTTTGTGCTGTCTGAGAGCTCACCACAGGCTGGTCCCATTGGCTTTCACATCCAGATGTGTGGCACCCAGAGCCAGCACCGTGGGAGCCTGGAGTCACCGCAGTGTGGCTGAGTGTTTGGTATTCGGCTCAGAGTCAGGAGACCTGTCTGGAGTTGGACATCACCAGCCCTGGGCGAGCAAGCTCTGATTTGTGTGACTGGGACTGTCACCTCTAACCCATCAGAGGATGTCAGTGAGAAGAGGGTGAAGAAGTGTTGCAGAAAGGTCATTCACTTTTGTGGTGACAGATTAAGTGCTGGATGCAGAGTTGAATATTTTTTCCAGGAACCCTCACCCTTTCTCAATCTGCTGTCTGCTAAAACCCTTAGAAAACCAATTCACAGTTTCTACCAGAGAAATAATCACTTGTATGAAGACTTAAGCCTCTCATTTCCTACAATGATAATCCTTCATGAAAATGAAATATGAAAAAATGAAAATGAAATAAGAATTTCTGTAAAGTTCGAGAAGGCTCTTGGCATAACATCCAGTGACAAGCTGCCCATTAATAAAACAAACTTCTGTCAGTTCTCACCCAGAAAACTTTACCTTGCAGGTTACTGTAATTAGAGCTGATTTTAGAGGGGAAAAATGTTACCAGCTGCATATTAAAACTGATTCTGGCTGAAGCTTAGGGTAACATTTTCAGTGTGAGTCCAGTACCACCAATAAACAAATGCTCCTGGGTTTTGGTTAATCACAGGTACCCTTCTGTCCTTTTCCTCAACAAAACTCTACTCAAAATTGAAGCTTACCAAACACAGTTAAACACATGTAGATTTCCATGGCCTTCCTGGAGGCTGAGCACACTGCCAGGAAGAATAACATGGATAAAAAAGAAGTGTCTCTGCCTATGCCGTTGCCTCAGAAAAAGCTGGTGGTGCCTGAATGCATATAGTGAGATGATGGTCATGCTGTAGGTTACAAATATTGGTGGATTAATAGCATCAGCTGCTGAATTATCAGCTGAAGAAAGCATGATTTGAGGCTGCTGCTGAGAGGAGACTCCTATTAAACCAAACTCAGCTCTTCACAAAAGTCACAAAAAATCAGGGGAAAGAAAGCTCCTGAGCAGAGGGGGAGACTGAGCTAAAGAGAAAGAGTGAGTCTCTTTTAATGCAATAAGAGTAATGTAAATACTTTAAAACAGTTCACTAGTGGCTCTAAAGAGCACAGTGCCTTATTTGTCATCATTGCCAGCACACAAACCACTACAAAGACAGTTTTCTTTCTTCTGATTGCTTTGCAGCTACAGGTAAAAATCATAAGGTAATTGGATTTTATACAGTCTCATCCAAAGGCTTTGGAACATGATTATCTACAGTGATTGACATATCCCAAGTGGTGAATTATTGCATTAGAGACATGTGTGCAGCTCTTAGGTACAGCTGCATACGTACAGCTGCAGCTGCACGCAAAGGGTCTGGCACTGAGCAGTGGAATTCCAGTCCTTACTGGGAAATAGGGCAATCCAGGCTGAACCCTGACTGAAACCAGGGGGATTGTGAGGGTTCTGTATTAGTGGCTGAAGTGAAAATAAGCAATAACCACTGAAAGGCTCTAAATTATGAGAGATATGAGAGATAACTCAACTACGCTGTTCCTGATCCAGGCCAGGATTGCCATTGGCCTTCTTGGCCACCTGAGCACATTGCTGGCTCATGTTCAGCTTCCTGTCTATCCAAACTCCCAGGTCCCATTCTGCCTGCTGCTCTCCAGCCACTCTGTCCCCAGCCTGGAGCGCTGCATGGGGTTGTTATGGTAGCTCACTTTAGTGTAAAACAAGCTCAAATTGAAAAGTCCCAGCAACAATGCCACTGTCACAGAAAATCAGGTGTGTAACTTACATTGCAACTTAGTGGCAGTTTTCCTCCAGTTGGGTCACTTCAGCACCTCTCTAACACAGACACCAGAGAACTCTCTGGCCACATGGCAATTTTACATCTAGCAGGAAAAGAAAACCCCCTCAAGTCTAAAGTATACAGTGCTGGAGCTTTTAGCTGTATGTGCCACTCACTGGCCTCTGCCAGTGTATTGCAGGAGGTTGTCAGGCCAAGTGCATTGGAGCAGCATCAGCCACCAGGAAGGCTGTGAAGCTGGACACACACCACTGGGAAGGCTGGAAGGTATGTACTAGGTATGGAGAAATGCTGGGGAATGACATGCTTCAGAGAAACCTAATTCAAGCCAGCACAGGCCACTGCTGGTGTGCCACACTCTGAACTGGCTTTGTCACACCGAGTGAACAACTGTGCCTTAGAAATCACTGGTAATGGCTCAGCTTTCAGCAAATCATAGCTGTTAGTCAAATAAATTATAGCTCCTGTGCAGCAGATGAATATTGCAGCTTAAAAAAAATTGCTAGGGAGCTTGTTTTGACAATAAGTTGAGGCGACTTAAAAAAGAAAATCTGCTTATGTGAAGCCTTAGGCAGTGGGCAGTGAATTGGCTAAGTGATAGCTACACATTTCAGAAGTCTGTGCAAACCACTTCCCATGTGTGCAATTCATACATATAAAAACCAATGCTATTTCCTTCCAAGTACAGAAAAGTCCACTGAAATTTCTGAGATGCTATTTTTGAAATAGCAAAGCCATAAACCCGCAAACTGTTGAGCAATGTAGACCTTATTTTAAAAATGGCTCTTAGCTTTGAAACTAAAAGCCAGCAGAAAACACAGCCACTAGTTTGATGATAACAGTAACAAAGAATGGTGACCAGTCTCATCTGGGCTGGGTGACACACATTCCTTCCACAAAACACAAAAAGAAAAGGAACTGAGCTGGTGGCAATAAGAGCAGTGAATCTTTTTACAGCAGATTCCAAGGGGAAAGCACTGCATATTAACCTTATAGAAGCAAATCTCTTGCTCTGTTTCAGGAACAGTCTCCAGCATAGCTTTTGCCCAAGCCCAGTTTGTAATGAGGATCTCTGCACACAGGCAGACTAATGGCAGCACACACACACACACACACACACACACACAGACACACAGACACAAGGCGTTTTTGCACACATACATAAGATATACACAGACAGATAATTATATAGAAGTAAAGGTGTTTGGATCTCTAAGTAGATGTCAGTAACAGAGTTGGTCTCCCTGCCACCTTTACCAGGAGCTCTTTAGAAGAATATAACCTAGAAACAATATTATCAGGAAGTTTTATTTGTTGTGTACTTTCCCACAAATGCTGAAATGAAGAGGAAAGTAGTTCAGATTTTTTCTCTTTTTTTTGCAGGCAGAACACAGAAACACATAAAAGATTTGTCAGTATTATTTGCCAGTATTATTGAGAATGAATCAATAGATCTGATGTGGAAGGAGAATTGAGCATTTTAAAAAGAATTAATAAAGTAGTTCTTTAAAACTTACATTCTATTCCATGTGCACAGAATCACATTTTCCGCTGTTCCCCATTTCATATTTAGTACAAACACATGGCAAAGGTGATTTTGTCTGCTAAAATGGCCAACAACCAGACAATAATTCTGAACTAAGAGCCACATAAAATATGTTTTGAAGTGAAACAGAATATTTCTGCTACCTTAAGAGAAGTCAATCCCAAACTACAGAATCCTATGGATATGTGCTGAGGAAGCCAATCTAATTCCTAAGGTTTGTATTTATGAGGCTATTGTAAAATCCTGTATTAACAGTTGGATATCAACAGAAACCCATAGTTTGAGATAGCAGTAGGTAGACAGAAATACAATCTTATTAATAATTTAAAGCAGACAAACAGCAAAAACATCTTTTGTCTAACTAGGCTAGAAGATAATCAAAATATGCCAAGTGAATAAAACACACTGTGAACAGGACAAAACCATGTTCCTTATATGCCCTTCTAGTTGGTCACTGCTTCTCTCTCTCTTTCATCTTATCAATGTAGTTGAGCACCTCGATTGTCTTGATGCCAACCAAACTCATGTACTCTGTCTCA